CCCCCCCCCCCCCCCCCCCCGGTCAGATCTATGGGTGGATAATAATGTGGGTGTTCTCAGTCTCTCTCAATGCACACTGAAGATCTCCCTCAACGACCCGCGGCCTGACCTTCCACGAGTGTTATGTCACCGTTGTCATGGCGACGTGGCCCTCACATTCTGACGGGGCCCTCACCTTTCGCCCACAGGAGCCTTTCGAGGATGGCTTCGCCAACGGAGACGAACTCACGCCCGCTGAGGAGGCTGCTGCCAAGGAGGCCGTGGATCCCAAGGGCGCCGTCAAGTTCGGCTGGATCAAAGGCGTCCTGGTGAGTCTCGCTGAAATCAGCCCTCCACACCCTACACCTGTCAGCCGACATTTACAAGAATAATAATTAAGTGCAAGTTTATCCTGTAAGAACCTGGAAAAATAAAACTAGCTGGGAGGCGGGTTTGAATTTTTCGACGTCTTCATCGCTTAAAGCAGTGTTTCCCAATCTGGTTCTCGGGGACCCGCAGACTGTCCAGCTGGGAGGGAGCAAAAACGTGGACCGGCTGTGGGCCCCTGAGGACCAGATGGGGAAACGCTGCTTTGAGGCAGTATGGGATTTTTAATTTATTTTTTCCCCCTGTTTATAACCAACGTGAAAGACACAGTACCATCTTCTAATAGGAGCTTCCAGATTCAGCTTTTTTGTTTTTTTGCTAGGGCTCAGAGCTGGGCCAGCCAGTATCTGCCGCTCCTGGAGCTTTTCAGGTTAAGGGTTTTGCTCAAGGGCCCAGCAGTGATCATGATTACTCAGCCAGGAAGATTGAAGCCCACAACCTTATGGAAACAGCCAGAGGTCCTGATCTCGCTGAGCTACGTTTCACCCTGGGGTGTCTTTGGCCAGGGACATCAACAATTTTCTTCATAAAGTGTCTCATCTGCCCTTTTTTAGGTGTTTTTTTAATTGATGCATTTTTCAGTTTCTTTTGAGAGATATCGACTCCTTTCAGCTAATCTGGCAGTCACCATAATGATAAATGTTGAACTGACTTGTGCCAAAGTAGGTAGAGGTTTTTTTTTCATTCTTTTCTTGGCAGGCTGTTGATATCCAAAGACCTTGTCAGAGTCAAGGTTAAATTGAGAACAGTACAGTGTGGCCATATCACCGGTGTTCTGGCTGGCAGCCCTGACCTCTTAGTTTTCATCGCCTTCCCCTCAGACTAAATAAACGGAACCTCTTGCCCGGCCTCTGTGGCCGAGTTTGAAAGGCACCCGCCTTCACGTCACGACGACGATGAAGCGCCGCCTTAAACCCGTCTGCTGAGAAGCACCAATGGGAGGCCATGGTCTAAGATCCTCCGCCAAGTCTGATTGGTGCGCCTCAGAGTTCCATCACGCCCACTGCCTGCCCCGAGGGTCGTTCGTGCCGTGGCAGAATACTGTGACACTACTGCCACATGACTCTGAAGTGATAATCACATTGTAACCCGATTCCCTCCCCAACAATTATGCACACATGCCACACAGGTGTTCCCTCAGTGAATTTGTGATTTTAGTCCTGAATGGGCTTTTTAAGAAGCTGAATGCCATTTGTTCTCTGGGGTTTGGTAACAGTGCACCATGGCAATCTGTATTGGCTCCTGAATGGTCCATTGTCCCTGGTCCCGGTGCCGTTCTGTTCCTTTGTCTGCCATCCTATGGCCCTTTCTTCTTGTGTATATTTCAACCTTATTTGTGTAATTTCTAATACTTTTTTTTGGCACTGGGTGTGTAAGCTGATGTTAGAGTAGTTTCCTGAGGGACATTCTTGGCTTGTTTTCTTCAAGTTGCCGAAGCTGTCAGCTACCCTGACATAGCGATCAGAGGTCATGGCTGGCCGTGGCGAAGTCTCCATTATTTTTATTAATCGATGACTTTATTAATAATGAGCTGCACTTGGTGACATGAAGAATCCAGACTGAACCTATTTCAGCTCACTCTGCATCTATGAGTTTCTGGGTTATCGGTTGTAGAACTAGCAAAGAGATGCCATTGAGCTTATGGTATGGCAGAGTAATAAAAGCAGGGGGGGGAGGCATAAGTGGTGGGGTGGGGGACTCCAGGGACCAATCAGCTTTCAGCCAGTGCCCCAGCCTTGTATATACTCCTGACAAGTTATTTTTTATTTTTTAAAAACAGCTTGCTTGTGCTGGATCGCATAGATCCATTCTCTCTAATCCTGACCATACCATTAACATCTAGGATTGGTGTGTTTTTGAGAAGCTGTCTGCCTATTGGCCAATCAGACACATACACCCCTCCCCCCATCCCCCCTCTCCTGTGCAGGTGCGCTGCATGTTGAACATCTGGGGGGTGATGCTCTTCATCCGCATGCCGTGGATCGTGGGCCAGGCAGGCATTGGTAGGTGACTCTTCCGCCATCTTTGGTCATCAGCCCCCGCCCCACTGTGTGCATCTGCATTTCAGCCCAAACCACCACCCCCCCACCCCCCGCCCCGCATCCTGTCTCTCACCCCCATCTGAAATGCTGCCTGTGGTCAGTCACCTGCCACTAAACTCATTCTGTGGCTGGCATGCTAGTATTCACACAGTCCCTGCAAATATGGCATTTTAAAGCTAAGGTGGAGGGGGGCGGGATCCTCTGTTATCCCGGCCTATCAGGACGCATAGAATGTACGTCTTCATAGGAACATTCTTGTGAAAGTAACGGTTTCCTTTTATAAACTAAGGGTCCATTTCTGCATGAACCGTGACCCAGCGCACCCCTCCATCCCGGTGATTGGCTTCCCATGATCCTCTCTTAATCGTGTATTTGTCTCTTCCAGCTCTGTCCTGTGTGATCGTGCTCATGTCGATGGTCGTGACCACCATCACCGGCCTGTCGACGTCAGCCATAGCGACCAACGGCTTCGTACGGGGAGGTGTGTACTGCCCGTCCTCCTGGATGCTTGTGTGTGTTTGTGCTGCAGCGTCATTTTAAGTAAACATTAAACACTGTGACTCTGCTGCTGTTCTCAACAAGGGAGTTATTGGCACTCATTGCTCAAGGTTGCTCAAATATGATTTATATTGCCCTAGAAAATGCTATTTACTTGCACACTTTTTATTAATTAGACTGGTTCCCGAGGTCTTTACCTTCCAGATTGCCAGGCTCTGTTCAAGCTGTGTACAAGTTGTCTGATCCTTTCTGCATTCACTGCTGTGATGTGGAAGATGGACAACTATCAGTGTCACTCTCTTCTTGAGGCAAAACACATGAGCGTAAGCATAAGATCCTATGGCAGCCACTGATTAAATTAGTGGGCTGATTCTGTCGTATCTTTCTGGGAAATGGTTTATAACAACCGTGGGAATTTTGGAATTAATAGGCAGATGTGAGGATTGGTCATCTTGAAAGCTCTTCCTGGTTTAAGGCACAGTGATTGAAAATCTCAAAGTCCGATTACCAGTTTGCTGTGCGCCCCCTAATCCCCTTATTTAATTTTGTTTGGCCAGCTATGAGGCTAAGTACTCCGGTACGTTCTGTTTGACCTCTAAAATGGAAAGTTTAATTAACTTTCTGTCATCGCCCCTGTGCTTTAATCTCTCGACCTTGAGGAAGATCAAGATATTATATACCGGGCTGAACCTATCAGAGGTAACTTGTCGTCTTGGATGATGAAGGACACTTAGTCATCAGCTGACCTGTGAGAGTGTGTCTGCGCGTTTTTAAAGGCCAGCTTGAGCTTTTGGCTTCTCATGTTAAAATTCCGCCAAAGCCCTCACCGGCAACTGGCGAACGGGTCGTTCTGCTGTAACCGAGCCACATCCGCTCGGGGTCAGCTCATCCGTTTGATGGGAAACGGTGAAAGATGTAGGCACATGGGACGGCCCCCATCCAGAGAATCCGCCGAAGCGTTCCCGCTGTAATCTGAGAGCTGGTCCACACTGAGGTCAGCAGAAGGGCACGTGTAACCACAGCTTACAAAGTTTTAGGCTTTCACTTTTTTGGGGGGAACTTTTGCCATGTAAATCCCAGATGTTATTTGCCCATGCGTCTGCCGCTGCCCCCCTGCTGGCCGACCTTGAAACGTCCCGCCGCAAAGGGCTGCCCGAACCCCCGTGTCTCATTCCCACCATTCCCCTCGTCTTCTGGGCCCCACAGTAGATAGCTTTTTTTTATTTGTGTGCCCTTGCCCATGTATGCAGATACTTAAAAAATATTTTGAATAAGGTTAGGTAATATTTTCCTCTCCCCGGAGTTATAACCAGTTGCTGGGAAAATACAATTTTTTGGCGGGGGGGGGGTTAAAGGGGAAGTTCGCAGCGTGTTGCTTGTGGAGATGTCACAGTATTGTGAATAATTTGAGAAGGTGGTCCTGTATCCCGTTAGGTCTGTCATTGACACACGGCGTCCCCTTGGAAATGGGCGAGGTCACAAAAAAATTAAACAAACCGTTGAAATTTGCGTTGTTTTCAGTGCCATCGAGAGGAGCGTGAGGTCATGTTGGAGTGTATCTTCAGTGTCATGTATAATTTAATATAGAACTATTACCATTCGCTCGCTTTGAAGGCAGAAATATCAGTGAGCAGATCATCAGTCTTCGACGAGATGTTTCACAGCCGCTCTATCTTCCATCCTCAGTCGGTGTGACCGGGGCGCGAGTGACGGACGCTCATCTATAATTAGATGTGACTAAAATGACACACATAACGCTGCCTGTGGTTCTCCTGGTCCATTGGTCAGCGGGGATTTAAATCCCCATAGAAACTAATCTTTTCAGATATTCCAGTTATTCTGTAATCCTATGAAAATGCCGTATTTAATTGTAGACTTGCAAGCACAGAGCTTTCCCCTTATTTTGTTTGTAACTCTTGCGGCGTAGTTGTTGTAGTAGTAGTAGTTGTAGTTATTTATTATTAATATTATTGCATAATCATATTAACACTAATAATGACTATTTTACTTGTTTGGTTTCATTTATATTCCTTTTCGTTTTAGCATTGTTAGAACCTCAGCTGACTTGCCTCATTTGCAGAAGCCCTTTATTACCTATACTAGTGGCCAGAATTGTGGAAACATTTCGTTTCCACAATTGCGAGATGGCTGTTTCAGCACGAGCTCAGCCATCTCGCATTTCACCAAGTGCAAACACAGGAACTTGTCTTTGTTTACAAGTGTCGTCGCCGGGAGTGCAGCCACTGTCACTCATCGATGTTTGTGTCACTGGCTCGGGAGTTTTGACATCTGAAACGGCCTGGAAGCAGCCCATGTTCGGGGGAAGTTCAGGCTTCCTGGGAACCTCAGTTACTGCGAATTGCACGGCTTGTTCAAACACGCGCGTCCCTTAAGCTTGGACTCGTCTGGATATTTAATATGGGTAGGGGAACCGAGGAGAACAGCAGACATTAAAAATTGACGGTTAGCTTTGAATAGCTCCCTCTTGGTTAGTGCTTAGGTCTGCACCGGTGCAAGCTTTCCTAATTTTGAGGAGAAATTTGAGAAGGGCCAGTTGCCAGAACAAACTCAACATTTCAGTTAGCCGCAACCATACGAATCACCGGATGTGTTTACAGTTTATGGTATTGATTTACTATTTAGTTTATTTTTAATTTAATGTTATTATGCCTTTGCTCTGCAATGGACTGGAGTCCTAGACTGTCTGTCCCCTGCCTCTTGCCCTGTGCTTCCTGGGATTGACTCCAGACTCATCATGACCCTCTATGTATAATCATGGTCAACCAATAATCAAGCAGGCAGCCACCTCTGCTACGTACTGTAACATTGCGCTTGGCTGGCTGGCTGGTCTAGCGAACCTAAAAGTTAGCTGTGTGGTGTAGATTTTGGGAATGGTCTTTGCTTTAGTTTGAGGTGTACAGAGCCTAAAATGCTTTCTTTTCCACAGGTGGGGCATATTACCTCATATCCCGGAGTCTCGGCCCAGAGTTCGGAGGCTCTATCGGGCTCATTTTCGCCTTCGCCAACGCCGTGGCGGTTGCCATGTACGTTGTGGGATTTGCTGAAACCGTTGTGGAAATCCTCAAGGTAGCTGAAATTGCACCAGGGTGTGCCCCCCAGGCTTCATTTGCCTATTTTTATTGATTTTAAACTGCTTCATGGCTAGCTCTGCCCCCCCCCCCCCACCTATTTTGAAGGTTTCAATTTCTCCCATAAATCCTTCACAGATGTGTGCTTCTGTCTATAAATGATTATCTTAGGATTTAGTCCTTACAACTTCCTCATGTTGTTAGTGGCAATGATTTATCTTTGATCTGTCCTATGTGAAAAGTCACTTTCCCACCGAAGTTCGGGAACCTTCCTGGGCCATCTTGAGCAAGAACTTTTGTAGTTCCCAGCCACTTTCATGTGACTTTCCTACCGCACAACAGGAACTGGGACAGGAAATGTGCATGGGAGACGCAAAAAGTTTTTAGGTTAAGCTTGGTACGTAATTTCATAAGTGCGGAAACCGCACCACTATGCTAAAACAATGGAGGATGAACAAGTCATTTTGTTAGTTATGGGGGGGGGGGGGGGGGTTATTGATGGCGCAGTCTGAGAATACGGGACAAATCTCAACAGACTGATCTTTTGTTTTCCACAGAATAAAGAACAATGTAGTGTTATTCCGCTAATCCTGGCAAGTCTTACCGCTGACATCCCCCCCGTACTTGGTATTGGCAATATTATACAACAATGCACCAGTATCAGTCAAAATTTCCATATTGGTGCGCCACTAAAACAAAGACTGGAAAGCCAGAGCACTTATGCTGGTTCTTGAAAAGTTCCTGTGGTGAGAAAGGGCCTAAAGCAGGGTTCCCCAATTCTGGTCCTGAAGGGCCCTGATTTGCATCTTATTCAACTCGCCAGCTAATTGCTGGGTTCAGTAGGCGTCGGTCCCTGGGACTGGAATTGGGGAACCCTGGCCTATAGTGAGGTGGCTTCTGTTCCGTTGAATAACAGGAGGTCCATGGACCGCATGGAGTGTGTCGTTTCTTAACCAGGTTATGTCCACCCCAGGGTGCCGACGCCATCATGATCGACGAGTCCAACGACGTGCGGCTGATCGGGAGCCTCACCATTGTTTTGCTGTTGGCCATCTCTCTGGCAGGAATGGAGTGGGAGGCCAAGGTAACGGCCTAAGGCTGCGTTTGTCATTCCACAGAGATTCCATTGTTTGTCTTCATCTGTATGTATCTCCCCCCACACCCTACACATTAAACTACGGGTTTGCCCTTCTACACACTTTGGTTTTCAGACCCAAAAAGATTCATGGAAGGTTCAATACTGTGTGGGGAAAAGGATTGGCAGGACCGTTAACATTGCAATATGGAAAGAAGCTAAATGTTGAACAAAAAGTACCAAGAATACAAATACCTGATGACATGGACTGTATAAATTGGGCTCTTCAGACTTCTCTTGAAGTAGGGGGGGGACCTTGCCATCTCTTGGGGACTGTAGACAAATGTTCCTTTGGGGAAATACAAAGGGCCAGTTCTGTTTTGAGGTGCATGCAATGAACAAAAGCAACATGCAAGTCCTCCACCCTGATGGAATAGTTCTCTGGTGGTCTCCATAACAAATGAATGTGCATTGTTATCCTCTATTCTGGGCTGGACCCAGAATCGGGGAAATGAATTGAATTGACTTGAATTGACGAGTTTTCCCTAACAACTCCCCTGGTCTGAGTGATTTTTCCCCCCTCTTTCTCTCTTTCAGGCTCAGATCTTCCTGCTGTTTATTTTGTTGACTGCCATCGTCAACTACTTTATCGGGACCTTCATTAATGTGGAGTCCAAGCAGCCCAAGGCCTTCTTGGGATATAAAGGTTTGAGCTGCACCCAAATAGTGTACCCAGATATTCTTGTAATGTCAAGCTTTTTATTCATAACAGGTTGTGATGTCCCAAAACTAATGATTATCTCCATAGTAGATCAGACTAAACAACCTGAAATACTCAGTTTTTTCTCTAGAGCAGTCCACAATAAGCTTTTTCCATGATATTTGTCTCTTTCAGCTGAGATAATGTTCGAGAACATGGGTCCAAACTTTCATGAAGAGACGTTCTTCTCCGTATTTGCTATCTTCTTCCCAGCGGCCACTGGCATCTTGGCTGGTGCCAACATCTCTGGAGACCTGGCGGTGAGAACTTGTTGGCTCTGGTTTTGCCTGATTCTGACGTTATTGCTGCAGCATTTGTGTTCAAAGTGTGCAGTTCTTAGCACAAAGTGCCAAATGCATACTTTTTTATGGACATTTTGCCAGGACACTGTTTTTGAACCCAGATCTCAACATGTTTGACCTGCTTGCTCCTACTGGCTATAGCTAGAATGTTAACAATGGCTGGAAAAGGATCGAGAGTCACTGGGAAGTTGCTTGTGTGGGATGTTTAGTTGCTGTAAAGGTGTGTCCCATATCTGCTGTAAAAATATTACTTGGCAGTAAAGAGTGCATAGCCATTCACCCCCATGGTTGCTGTTGTTCCTGTTTAGACATTTTAAATGGAGGAACTAGCATATAAATCCAAATACATTTTTACTGTACTGTTAAGTACACTAGCATCCAATCCATTTGGGTACATTTGACAACTTATTGCCTACTATTCATCTTACGATTGCTATTTTACTTGGTTGGTAAACCTAGAACTTTATCTAGCTTGTCTACTGTAGGACTAAGATGTGGTGTTTAGTTTGTTTTCCTGTGATGCTTTTATTTCCCAGCTTTCCTTCTGGGTGCTATTCAGCTCAAAACACGATAGTCTGCAAATAATTCAAGGGACCATCTATTCCCATCCCAGACAAATAAGTTTCTAGAAACTCTAATCCTAATTATGGTGGTCTTCACCCACTTACTCACGGTATGTCCATCAAAGTCCAAAAGGCTTGGACACCGAGGGTAGGTGAGTAGTGAGAAAATGACTTTTTGGTTCCATGCTTGGTGGGACTACCACATATTGTCAATGTCTAATTCAACCCAGTGGCAGTCAGCAGAGGTACCAGTGGGATATGGGTGAGGCTTTGTGGGTGACTGACAGCACTCAGTGCCAACCACAGCAGGCGTCAAAGTCCTGTTTCACAACTTAGCCTGTTTTTCACCTGAACCACAGTTTGGATTGTGGCTGGAAACCTGAGTACCTGGGGAAAAACCCCACACAAACACAGGGTTGGAAATATAAACCGCACAGATTTAGGGTTTTAATCCACAGCCCCGGTGGTCCGAAGCAGTAACAATATCTACTTGGCTGTCCCTGTAGGGCGCTGGACATGAAGTTTGCTAACCGAGACCCATATTGTGATTTGAGAAAGTCACTGTTTCTGCAACTTCCTCTCGAAGTTCCTCAACTTCCTTGCAGCTCCTCATTGTGCCTCGGTGCTTTAAATAGATGTTCTGTTCTGTGTCCTCAGGATCCACAGATGGCTATTCCCAAGGGAACGCTATTGGCCATCCTGATAACCGGCACGGTTTACTTGGGTGTCGCCATCACTGCTGGTGAGGGCAGAATTCTTCTCTTCCCAAACGTTTTCTTGGTATAGAAATCCAGGCATGTTGTTCTGGTCATGCTTGGACGGATCCAATTTGCCATTATCAGCCTTCACAGTCCTTGTCACTTGGATAAAGTTTAGATTTGAGTTTGTAAGCTGGCCTGACCAGGGTTCAGTACGCTGAGGGTGTTTTGACAAAAGCTCCTTAAGCTATTTGATGCACTGGCTACAGATTCTGTACCCCATGTGGTCTAAGGGCGCCCTCACATTTGCCTGCAGGGTCCAGTATCGTGCGTGAGGCCACAGGCAATGCCAACGACACCATCAGCGGCAGCGCCACGGCCAACTGCACCGACGCCGCTTGCAGCCTCGGTTTTGACTTCTCCTCCTGCAAGTCCAGCAAGTGCGAGTATGGACTCCTGAACGATTTCCAGGTACTCTGGGTTTGCGGCTGGCTGCCGGACCGAACAGGAAACCCTACCATTGTACCCTCAACCCAGAAAGGTTCCATTGTCTATGTCCTGTATTAATATGCAGCAATAAAATGACAGACTTTGTGCTCATACCTAGTAAATGGAGGGAAATTAATGAAAACCAGTGGAAGGAGCTTGAAGACCAGCTTCTGCAATAATGGCAATTGTATCCCGGATCACAAGGCACTGTTTACCCTGTGAGCTGAAAGGGGGCCTTTTAGGGTCTCTCCCATGACGCTGACGTCATTCGAGAGTGGCCAGGGTGTGGAAGGGCCTCAAAGGGACCTCGGTGTCCCATCTCCCCGCAAAGCGTGGCGGTCAGCTGAAGAGGGGCTCGTCCTTGGCTCTCTCTCTTCCTTCCATTGTTATTCTTCTGCTCAGGCCTCCATTGTCTTAAATGCCATGCTCATTATGTCCATGGCCTGGCCATGGCAGATCTTTGCCCTCTGCCCCCCATGGTTAGTAAAATGAGTAATTGATCCCCCGGGGCCTGTGAACCCTTGACGGCTGGTTTATCTTAACTTTACCGTTACTGCGGACATGGCTGGCACTGGCTCTCAAGACTATTCGGTGGTTATATCAAATAATTTCTTTATAGCAAAGTCTCTAAGGAATAAGTGATTTTTTGCCCTCTGTCTCAGCTCTTTGTCGTTTAACTGAGAAAGTGTAAATGCTTAGCTGGCAGCACGTACCTTTCGAGATGTATGTGGTTAGACTGGTTTACCGGGCTGCCTGCTTGCCTTAGAGGGCCTCAAAGGAAACGAGGCACCTGTCTGCTATACCCAGACTGTTCGCTGCCTTGACGCACGACCCCAGGAAAGCATGAGGTCCAGGACCGTTTGGAAGCAATTCCTTGTCAACAAAACAGCGCTAATAATGTTCCTCCGTAGCCCGGCTCCCAGTCGAGGTAGATTTAATGTCCTACCCTAGCTGTGAACTCTGCCTGCAATTAGCTATTATATTATTATTATATATAATTTTATTTTTCATAACATGTGTTGCATGTTTAGTAACAATTAAGATTAGTTAATGCCACATGAACTCCAATTTCAGTGTTTCTCTGCAAACTATTGCAGAAGTGATTTATGTGATCTTTGCATTTAACCCTGGGGAACCCAGACCACCTTATTGTAGGAAAAATATGTCCATTTGCTAAAATGATCATACAGACCCAGTGAACTCAAAAACAGGTGTTTTGTAAAATTAAGTATTGATGGTACAACCAAGTGTTGTTTTTAGGTACTTCACAACCGCAGCTGCATTCAGCCTCAAAGTTTTAGGAAGTGCCAGTAAGTGAGGAACTGAAGGTTCTGCTCCTTTCTCTTCCAGGTCATGGCCCTGGTGTCGGGCTTTGGGCCGCTCATCACTGCCGGAATCTTCTCAGCCACTCTCTCCTCGGCCTTGGCCTCCCTGGTCAGTGCGCCCAAAGTCTTCCAGGTGAGCTGTGCTTGTAACTGTGGCTATTTCCATGGTGACCGCCTCCCCGCATTCCCGGCGCGTTTCTGAATGTCACTGCAGGACTTCCTCCCTCTCATTTTCCCCAGGCACTGTGCAAGGACAACATTTATCCCGGCCTGAATTTCTTCGCCAAAGGTTATGGCAAGAACAACGAGCCCTTTCGTGGCTACCTGCTCACTTTTGTTATCGGACTGGCCTTCACTCTCATAGGTAGGCTTGTGGTCTGACGCTGCGAGGCGGCCTTCAGACAAACCCCCACCTGCTCTTAATAATGCCGTGTCTTTCTCTCCCTTCCCACAGCGAAGTTGAATGCCATTGCACCCATCATTTCAAACTTCTTCCTGGCCTCCTATGCCTTAATTAACTTCTCAGTGTTCCATGCCTCTCTGGCCAACTCTCCAGGTGAGACCCAATCGAAACCCAGATGGGTGGAGCTTACCTGCGTGGGTGGGGCCGATGGCTGGGATGAATGTTCACCACAGCAGGTTAATTACAGAGCGCAGCTACTGTCTTGCAGAGATCTTTCCAAAGACGTGCTGTCGTCCATAGTGTCACTAATTACAAGCTGCTATTTTAATTGTTAATTAATGTCTCCTTAGTTGGCAGGGAGAAATGTGTGCTAGCGGCCAATATGCTTAAGCCAGACAGGGGCTTTGTAGTCTGCTCACAATGACTGTTAATTCTCTAGAGTTTACTGTGGTAAGTTAATGGTTCTTTTATACATTTCTCTGCCTTTTGGGCATCAGGGAGTTGTTTTGTATACTCTTCGGGGGCAGTAAGAGTAGATGAGGCTTAAGCTGCATGATGAACTTAAAAACCCCAAAATATTACTAACCAATAGCAGTCACTCATTTTCAGTTGATGAGGCCCCACCTGTCTGTTCGGTCCATGGGCAATAAATAACATCTGGTTAGTCGCAGTTTGCAATGCATGCTGGGTAATTTAGCCCCTGTTCGGCAAACTTTTGTTTAATGGTTTTATGAAGGTCGTTTTTAAATCCTGGCTGTTGACATTTGAATAGTCAAGAGGTCTCAGTGTTTTCCTAGAAGAGTTTAAATAACGTTGTGAATATAAAAGCAGCTTCCCATGACTGTCATAATGGGCCTGTACAGAGTTCTGGCCTTGAAGCCTTAGCATCTAACTGCATAAGCAAGGCTGGGGTGGCACTTTGGCTGGGGTTCATTTAACCTTTTTGTTCAATTTGTACATTTTACATCCTGACATCTGCATCTGGCAGCGAGGTGGAACCTGCATTAAATCACATGGAGCCAAAGTTGAGAATGTAGTTAATACTCTGCAAGCACTCAGTGAGGGTGTTTACTGTTTGGTTTTGCTTTGTTTTGTCGGTTGAGAGAAACACACCATGAGTGGTTGCACTACAGTTATTGATGGATTAATTCTGGCAATTATTTCTGCCTTTGCGTGGGGGGGTGGGGTGACAGAAAAGGAAAAGTAGAAATGCAAATGTCCAGACATTTTTATCTGATATTAGCATCTCTTGGAAGATGTACTTTTTATTTATTTTACTCTTGGAAAAGGTCAGTTATGCAGTCACTGGCGCTCAGTCCTCCGGAACCCACTTGACCACTAAGTCTTTCCTCACGGATCCTTAAATATACAAAGAGAGGCAGAGAACTATGGCCCATGAGCAGGAGTGCGAGCCCAGGCGTCTCGCAGCCTTCTGGGGATGCTCCTTCCCGCTTGGCAGTGCTTGTTTCAGCTGGACTACCGTGATGCGGCTGCCATGCTTTCAAAACAACTGGCTGGGGGTTGGCATGAAATTAAACTGTCAGTGATCTGTCAGACCCCAGCAGTCGATGTGACGGATTTTAGCTGTGATTTAGATGTGCATGGCTGTATATGTCCGCTCTGCTTTACACGGAAACCATTTCAGGGCTGGAGCCAACCTGAATGCAGTATTATCATAAACGTGATGTATGGCTGCTTATTTTTATTAAAATCTGGCAGCTGCTGCAGTCAAGATAAGGCCGCGCTGATTTAAATGTGGGGAAAATGAGGATACTGGGCGGATATGGCAGAGTTAGAGGTTAGGGATGTAGATTTTGAAAGCGAATATAATTTGGTGTCGAGTTAAATTTTGGCTTTTAAATGATGTCATCCTTACTGCAATCTCCTGCAGGTTTGGCAGGGCAAGCAGGCACGACTGCAGCGCTTATTGAACATAAAGGGTTTACAAATAAAATAAAGATGCATTAGATATGCAGCATGATGTCGATGCATTAGAACAGACAATCCACGGTCTGTGGTGTAAAAATAAATAAATAAATGCTGTGTCGTCTGCGGTGTGACTTGCACCCTACAGTAGGTACCCTGGGGATTGTGTAGACGACGCTCTTCCTCATTGTATCCCAGTGTGGAGCTGTCACATTTAATTACAAACTCCCGCTAGCCTCGCCGCAGCGTCACTGACGCGTACCGTTAGCGTTTAGCACTTTTAACTGTTGCTAACACCCTGATTCGTATGTAATTCTGGCTGGTGACAGTGGGGTGTGATCTACTGGCTTTTCATGGAAGCTGAGGGTTTTCGAAATCTGCTGCTAAAGAATTGCTGAGATCCTTATCCAGTTTGGACAGGAAACCTGTGGTTAATTTTTATTTAAATATGTATTTGACCCAGTTCTACGATTTTAGAGCTGCAGTTTTAGAAGGATATGGGCTGTCTGCCTAGAGCTTTGATCCCCCCCCCCCCATCTCACCTGTTGACCCCCTCCCCCCCCCTTTTCTGAAACAGGGTGGAGGCCCAGCTTCAAGTACTACAACATGTGGGTGTCACTGGGGGGCGCCGTGCTCTGCTGCGTGGTCATGTTCGTCATCAACTGGTGGGCGGCCCTCATGACCAACGTCATCGTGCTGGCGCTCTACATCTACGTCAGCTACAAGAAGCCAGGTGAGTCCAGTGGGCCTTTACTCTCACACCTGCCGTATTCGGCACACTGAACGCAGTGGTAAGGAATAAGGCTGCCCAGTACTGCGGCGCCGCATTATATGCATAAAGTGCAGCGATATGCAGGACAAGTGCAAGGGAAAACAACATTGGCACACAATGTACAGGTAAACAATGATGGAATGTTTAGAATTTAGAGTAATGCAGCTGAGTTGCATGTAAATAGTATGAATGGAAGAATAAATAAATATGAGTGATGAGTATTGGCAGTGGCAATAGTGACAAAGTGGATGACCAACTTTAGTTAATGTCCAATTCAGTAGGGTGGGGGGCAGTAAAGAGTTCAGGGTCCGGATGGCCATGGGGAAGATGATGTTAGTCTGGCGGAACTGGCCCGGATATTCAGGAACCTCCTGCCAGACGGAAGGGGGGCGAAGACTGTGGGAAGGGTGGGGAGGTGATGGTGGTGATGGTCCCTGTCGGTTACCAGGCAGAAGAAATGGCTGATGTTTTGGGCGTGGCGCGGTTAACATGCGTGTATCGATCCGCTGGTCCTCCTCGGTTCGCTTTTGAAGCCATTCTCCGAGCGTTTGCTCTGCTGATACAGGAGTCCTCCCAGTAATGTGATTTGGGATTCGCGCTGCAGCGCTTTTAATCAGACACACTGGATGCTTCCTGCCGCTGACCCCCGGGGGCTCTGGCGAGTCCGCTTGCGGTGGTGGGACCTGGAAGAGAAAACCTCACTCATAATCCCCTAATGGGCCGTGATGAGAGTCTCCTGCCATCCACACTTTGCAAGCCTGTAATTCACCAGGAAATGTTGCATGCATGTACACTGTAATTTTGGCTGTGGTTCACCAATGGTGGTGTGGGGGTCTCAGACCCAGAATGTAAAGTTATCTTAAACTGGAACAATGTGGCATGCAACAGGTTGCTGCACCATTCAAGTTCCTCTTAAATTATAGTTTAAGAGTCTTATTTACTTGTGTTATAAATTCTACTGCTTTAATTTACTGTCTGGGCGTTTCGTGTTAAGCTGTAAAACCCTGTTTGACTGTCAGTGACAGTGAGTGTGTAAACAGAGTAGGGAATGTCTGTCGCTGCAGGGCAGGAATCTGCATGGAACCTCTTCTCGTTTAATTTTACTCACAATAACTTGGGTTATATGATCTGAGCTTGCAAATCACTGAGCGGGGAGGGGGGTGTGTTTGGGTTTGTGTTTACAGATGTTAACTGGGGCTCCTCCACACAAGCCCTGACCTATCACCAGGCCCTGACGCACACACTGCACCTCAGCGGAGTGGAGGACCACATCAAGAACTTCAGGTACATCCTCTCTGTTGCCCCGTATGTTCCTAGTGGGGGTGCAGCCTTCAAATTTGTCGTTGCCATGGACCAAAGTCCCAAAACTTAATTAAACAAATGATTTAATCCAAAGCCTGGGGTTAAAGGTGCTTTTGTTTCCTTCAGAAGTTGTACATGTTAGGCTGGAAATATGCTCCCCCCTTTCCGGTTCAGCTCTATCCCACAGCAGCTTCTGTTTAATTGGTCCATCATTTATGATGCTGCTGCTGATGGGGGGGGTTGTCAGAGTCAAAGTGGCCCCTCTGTATTAGTCCCTGTTAGGGTTGCATAACACCTGCACCCCCCCCCCCCCCCCCCGCACCAGAACGAAGAGAACAAGAAGCTGAGTGGTTAGAATATTCTTGGCTTAAAATAATTTATTTATTTTTTGGTCCAGATGGCAATCGGCCTCAAAGTGCTTCTAATAAATGTCAGATTTCAAGGTTTTCCTCCTGCTCTTGTTACTGGCTCCATTCCCCAGTGTATTTGCAGACTCGTGTGCATTAATACTCTGTCTGATTCGTGGGCATTAATACTCTGTCTGATTCGTGGGCGGGGCCATATTTGTCCCAGGTTACCCATGTGTGAGCGATCTTCTCTTCGAAACGACTCTTCAGCCGTGCTGTATGTTTACGAAGGTGTTCTCCGCCCACAGACCCCAGTGCCTGGTCATGACTGGCTACCCCAACTCTCGACCCGCCCTGCTCAACCTGGTGCATGCATTCACCAAGAACGTGGGCCTGATGATCTGCGGGCACGTGCGCACGGTGGGTGGCCGATCTGCTGCGGGTCACAGCGGCGTTTTCTCACCAGTTTCGTTTGTTTTAAGTCTCTGTATCCTGTATGATCTTCGGATCACAAGCCTCCCTCTGGTGCCGTGTGCAGAAACGCTACGTATTTCAGTCGCCTGTAGCATGCAGCAATAAAAGCACGGCTCCATTAAGATGAGCTGGAGTGCTCGGTGATGTAATCATACCGTGGTGTAAAAGGCACTTTGTGTTGCCTCTCCTGCCAGGCTGGATGAAAAGCCCAGTAATCAAACCCACATTGCCTGGACGCCACGGACTCTGGCGGCCCAGAACCCCAGCAGCCCACTGGGCCCGGTCTGCAGAACAACACGTCCCTAATTGAATGTCTGATTTCATATTCCGTTGCAAATTAATCCAAAAACATGAGCCTTGCTGTATGGCCAGGGGTGAAAGTATCCTCTCATAAAAGTAATGTATTATCCTGGCTTGGTATGGTGTGACTAGACAGCTTTCATCATGAATGGATAAATTCTAGCTTTGGTATGAAGTTGCTATGAGGAGTGTTTGTCAGCTGGAAGTTTTTGTGTACTTGTGTTGCTGTCCTGGTTCTCCTTGTGCTGGGCTTGCATCCTGCTAATATCCGAAGTTGACGTGACTGTTTTGTCTCCAGACGCTTCGCAGGCCGAACTTCAAGGAGCTGGCCACTGACCAGGTGCGCTACCAGCGTTGGCTGCTGAAGAATGAAATCAAGGCCTTCTACCTGCCTGTGTTTGCTGATGACCTGAGGCAAGGTGCCCAGTACCTTCTCCAGGTGAGTTGGTGGCTGACCATCATCCACAGTAACTGCATTGCTTGAAGATGTTGACGTCGGTGTTGACGTCGATTGATCATTGAATTAAGGCGAAGGCTTGTATTCTCAAACTAGTGCAGTGATTCAAGGCTTACTTTTGCCAAACCATGTTTCTCCCCTTGGATTCTGCACAGGCATCTGACTCGCATGAATTGTTTAGCACACGTCGTTCTTAATTGCAGTTTTCACCCAGCTCTCCTCTGACAAGGCCATCTGAGTCAGATGTCGTCTATTTGTGTTGCCGCTGGCAGCCCTCTGAAAGTCTGAGCCAGAATCTGAGCCTCAACTTCTTTACAGAATTGTGCCGGAATAGTGATGCAATACACAGGAAGCTCAGCCTGCAAAGCTGGTACCATCTTGAATAAAAGGTTGAGGTTTGGTTACTGCAATGGTTTAAATTCTGGCCTCCATGTCTCTTTGAAAGGCTGCTGGTCTCGGCCGCCTGAGGCCCAACACTCTGGTGATTGGCTTCAAGAACAACTGGAAGGACGGCGAGATGAAGGACGTGGAGACGTACATCAACATGATCCAGTGAGTGCAGTGCCAAACCTTGGCCTATTCACCGATTCAGTTCCCCATTATAAAGAGAAGCTCATAATTAATCGGCACAAGTGGCCTGTCAGGCCACTTGTGCCATCGTAAATGATCGATATTTTCCCATCTGAACTGTGGAGCAGCTTGTCCTTTGGGTGAGCAGGATAGGTAGTATATTCAGTCAGCCTAGGCTTGTAGCCTAGAAACATAGCTGGTTTAATACCAGAGTAAAGCACAATCCTTTCAATGCTGGTGGTGAATAGCCTTCTAGTTGTATCAAACAGAGCAGAGGAGGAATATGTGAGTGTTGACAGTTCGATTTACCGGTGCTTTGACTCATTAGGGCTCTCTGTTTGGCAGCCATATGTTTGAGGTACCTGCCGCTAACCGCTCTTGCTTTGAAGCCCTGTTGTGCCGGGACCACTTGCGTGTCCTCGTTTGTTTGTGACGGTACTCTCCACGGGCCGTCTGTCGTGTCCTGCCGAAAAGCGCAGATTTAATGCGCCGTGACGTACACAAGTCCACGCCATGTCACGCAGCATCCTCGTCAATTGCTAACAGACGTGTTTGTTTTGCTCCTGCAGCGACGCATTCGACTTCCAGTACGGGGCTGTGGTAATCCGACTTAAAGAGGGCCTTGACGTCTCCCACATCCAGGGTCAAGGTATGTTCCTTAGATGTTTCTTTTCTGCATTGGCTTTCTCTCATTATAAAGATGGTACTTTATCTTGAGGATCTGCCATTTTTATTAGGCTAATCCCCCCCTTCATTGGTTGTGATTAAGAAAAATTGCTTAAATCTAATGTGATTTTCTTTCCATTCTGTGATGTGTGGAATGGAACCTGTGTGATCATTGGAAGGTTTATATGAATCTTTTAATGGTCCTGAGAGGGAAGCTTATTTTAAGAGTGAAACGGGCCTCTATATTTGCTGGGGGTGGGTGGAGGGGGTCCGGCATTGCATTCCTGGTCTTTGTTGCGTGTTGTAAACAAGTTACTGACCAGCACACAGAGCCCTTGTGTGTCCAGGAGCCCGTGTTGTTACTGTAGCCTGTTTGCTTGCAAAAGGGGAGGAACGGCAGCTGGCTTGGCATCGCCGAGCGTGACGCCCCTTTTTCTACATGCTCCTGAAGACTGTAAAAGTTTTGTTTGCAAGTCTGGGTTCCCCCTCCTCCAGCACCACCTGCAGCCCGTCGCCTGCCATGATTTTCACATCCTCCCCCCCCCCCCCCCCACTGCCCCCCCCCCCCCTTTCAAGATGAGCTGCTGTCCTCCCAGGAGAAGACCTCCGGCATGAAGGACATTGTGGTCTCCATCGACATGAGCCGGGATTCTGATGCCGACTCCAAACCGTCGTCCAAAGCCACCAGCGCCCAGAACAGCCCCGCCATCCAGAAAGGTCTCCCTGACACCCGTATCTGTCCTCTATTGCATGTGATTCCAGCACATTCATGTTTCCAGGAGCTAAGGTCATATCTCCTAGACCATAATCTAACTTGGAGATGGAGATGTGATTTTTCAGATTTTGAACTTTCTTCTCCACTATAGACAGCATGTTTAATATGAATGTTAAGATTTTCTTGACCGTAAGTACAGTTTACAGGACATTCTGGTCTTTGCTGATGTTGACCTCTGACCTTTGCATCCCCAGCAATGCTTCCTTGGGGGTCATCCGCACACATGTGTACTGCAGCGGCCCGCTGTGTTTGAATGGGGGCTGGAGGAGTGTCGCTCCCACCCCCACCATTCTGGGGCAAAAATAATCTGACTGATGTTCCCACAGTGTGGGACAGTCCTGCTGGGAACAAGGCAGGGGGAGGGGGGAAGGGATTTCTCATTCCTACACCACGGTTTGTTTACTCACATTTACAGTCTAATCTCCGTTAATTGCTTCCTACCGACCCCCCGCATGACCCTTGGGTCGCACAGTGACGTTTTTGTGGGCTGAGCCCCGGAGCCCAGCGGATATTTCTCACGACTTGATTCCATAGATCGTAATTAGCACCACATGACTTTCTCCCCTTTGTTGTGTGACGCTGTTTTTATTGTGACAAATGGCGGCCTTTTCTGTAGCTTTTGAACCATGAAGTACCATGGTGGGGAAGTACCTTTCTCCTGTTCTGTCATTTTTATTGGTTAAATCCTGATAGTGGCATTTTTCTCAGTGTGAACTGTAATTGTGGGCCTTCCTCAGTCTGTCAGGATCTTGCCTGAAGCCCTCAAAGTCGGAATGGGCTGCAATACCACAGGTTCTCCTGGATCTCATTGGCTGGTGTTGGCACCCTTTGCCCCTGATTCCCGTCCCAAGTCATCACCTGTGGCTGTGGCTCATGCAGCGTTTCGTAACCCAGCAATTCTGGAGCTGTCATTGTGACCCCGGCCCCCATGGCCTGTTCTCTCGTCGCCGCGGCAGTGGCCATTAACATCCTGTTTCCCTTCTCTGTTTAACGTTGCCCAGACGATGACGAGGACAGCAAGGCCCCCACGCAGCCGCTGTTGAAAAAAGGCAGGAACCCATCTTCCCTCCGTCCTCTGTCCTTTCAGCCTGGCTCTCTGGGAATTAAGCCCCTTCGTCTCCCACCTCTTCCTCGTTTCTGCTTAGTGCTCGTTGGCTTCATGTGGCCTCCTCCGCAGCCTCTGGAGCTTCTAGCCTGTGTCTGTCTGTGCTCCGCTAGGGGGGAGTCTGTGTCTGGTCCTGTCCTTCCTCCTCCACTCGTCCTTCACTCAGATGCCATGCCTTCTTTTTCTTCTCTTCCACGAAGATCTCTCTCTTGGAGGTCTCTTCTCACACCTTTCATGTTTACAGATTTCTTTCTTTAGGGAAGCTCTTGCAGCTGGTCCCAGCAGCATGTATGTCATCTCTTTCAATAATAATGATGATAAAAGTTCTTCTTTTATTCACTGCAACTACTATATAATAATAATGTATTTGCTGTAGTTTGTCTAAAATTGTAATAGTAATAACTCATTGTAGTTTTTAAATCGTAATGTGTTCTCAGTAATATAATTTTTTAAATGTAGTTTTTTATAGCATAGTTTACTTTCTAGGGTCTGGTCCAGGTACAAATGGCACAAATAGCAGCAGAAATGCCCAAGGGTGCCAGGCCAGCCTCTGTTTGCCTTCCCAAATACCCACTTCATAGCTTCTACTTTTCCGCTGTGTTGTGTATAGAGAAGCTTCCAGATCAGACGAGCAGTATATCTGTATCTATTAATACTTTCAGCGGAGCCGTCGGGCCGTGCTTACATTCGCCTGTGGTGATGAATGAGCCCCGGCCTGAACCTCACGCGCCGTGTGTGTGTGTGTGTGTGTGTGTGTGTGTGTGTCATGCAGACAAGAGCCCCACCATCCCGCTAAATGTAGCTGACCAGCGCCTCCTGGAGGCCAGCCAGCAGTTCCAGAAGAAGCAGGGCAAGGGCACCGTGGACGTGTGGTGGCTGTTTGACGACGGCGGTAAGCGGCGCAGCCCCGCCTCCTCCCTGCCCACAGGCCTGCTAATGGGAGTCCGTGAACACGCCCACTTTCCTTTCCGTGCCGACCGCTCGGGTCACCTAATAGGATTAATGATTACACTTAACGAGGCAGGTAGCTCTGCTCTCAGGGTACACACTGTTCCTCTGTTCAGTGGGGCCGTGAAGCCCCCTGAGGGATTTCAGCAGGCCTGGGAGGGCTGTTTTGGTCGCTAAATCCAGAGCCTATGACTTGTAGCTGAGGGGGGGCATCTTTGCCTGCACGTTTTGGATTGTGGTTCTCGTTCCCGCAGGCTTGACCCTGTTGATCCCGTACCTCCTGACCAACAAGAAGAAGTGGAAGGACTGTAAGATTCGTGTGTTCATCGGCGGCAAGATCAACCGCATCGACCACGACCGCAGAGCGTGAGTGTTTATCCGCCGTCCATCTAAATATAAAATCTGTGTTTTACTTACGAAACGGTCAGATGTGAGGTAGTTTATGTTACTGAGCCATTTCTCATTCCCCTAAATGACATTTTAATCTTGGGTGCTGAACTCTGGGTGGGGGGGGGGGGGGGGAACCTTTGAACCAGGGTTCAAGAAAAAAACCCCCCCCCCCCCCCTCCATAGTTGTGCTGATGGTTCAGCATCTTGCTCTGTTCACCCCATGTGAAACCCCAGTTGAACCAGTAACAGAGGCCTGTGATCCTTGCCAGCCCCCCCCCCCCAACTTATCAGCCACCCTCCTTTCACAGTTAACTGAAGTTTGGCAGGGATTGCCATTTCCTCCCCCAGCTGGGGTTTGTCGTCATATTTTTCAGCGACTTTGTCCGAAAAAACAACCCCCTTTAAGCCCTCATTACACCTTGTTAATGCTAACATTGCTTTTTTAAAAAAAAATTAAAAATCAACCTTTTTATCGAGCTGTCTACCATGTGCACACGGGGGCCATCCGGCTCTGAGCTGGGGGGGCCACGTGGCCGTATTGTCCAGCACAAATGTTACTCGTTGTCCCCAGCAGCTGTCTGCCGCTTCTTGGCTAAAATTAGCACCATGCCAACACAGAGCCTTTTATCTCTGTCTGAAGCCCTGGGGGCCATGAGTGTGTCTCCATTGCATGAAAATACACAGCCGGTTTCAGGTCTGTCTGTCGTCCTGCATGTTTTGTTGGGAAATTCTAATGTTTGGCTTTCAGAAATTACCTTCTCAAAATTCACCTTTTGTTTATGGATAATTTTTTTCCTTTGATTTCATTAATATATGTTTACTGACAGCCTCTTGAGAGGTGCATGCGTTTGTATGTATGTGCGCAAATGCACACTTCATTCACATCTGCGCACATTCGGTATTTAATTTTAATAAAGGTCCACAAATCCGAGGAGTGACGAGGCCCTATGATTCAGAATTTTGGCTTGGACACCGCTTGAGCCCCAGGAATCCAAAACTTCATCCGCTATTTCTTCAAAATCCATTCCCCTTGGCTGTGTCCTATTTCGGGAAGAGGGGAAAAAAACAGCACATTCTGTATTTCAAAGGTGTTTTGAATCCCACTGCCAGCTCCTCATTGCTTCACGCCCGGCCTTGCAATTGTCCTCTCGTGATGTCCGATGCAAGAACGTAACCCTGCCATGTGTTCTGAGGTTTCTCTCTCGCCTCTTCCTCACACAGAATGGCTGCGCTGCTCAGCAAGTTCAGGATAGACTTCTCCGACATCACAGTCCTCGGGGACATCAACACAAAGCCAAAGAAGGAGAAGTAAGTCTTCACTGAGGCTCTCAGCTCGCGAGTAGACAACATCTGCACATTCTGATGCTCTCCAAAGATGCCTTTCATCCCTCTTCCTGAATGAGTCATGAGACGTGGAGATTCTTGAGAAGTTCGCGCCTCGTCTCTGTGAAACGAATGTACCGTTCGCTTGTTTGTCTGGAAATGTGCCGATGACGCCAACATTCTGGGCTGATGTGTGAAAACGACTTAACAGCTCAACATCTCAAAGATGAACCCTTTTATTCATTAAATTTTTTTTCCAAATAATAAAGAGCATTAGACGAATGTCTTCTTTTCTAGCTAGAGGTGCTGGTGTTAGGGTTACAACCCATGAGTGAATTTATACTGTGTTAATGAGCCCGACCTGCACGGTCTGTCTTGGCATCCATCTGAGATGTTTACGCTTCATATCCGCCACTGACCTGGGCCTTCACCCCTTCCCGTAGCGTGGCGACCTTCGAGGAGTTGATCGAGCCCTACAAGCTGAAGGAGGACGATATGGAGCAGGAGGCAGCCGAGAAGCTGAAGGCTGAGGAGCCATGGAGGATCACGGACAATGAGCTGGAGCTGTACAAAGCCAAGGTAGGGAGGGGTATAGCTGTTTGTGTTCCCCGGGTCATCACTCACTGGGCAACAACGCGACCATTAACATAGCAGTTCATTGAGACGAATCTGCCCGTCTGCGGTGGACCAGAAACCCCTTGAGGTCTTGACTGAGAAGATCATTTGTGCCCCGGTTCATGGCTATGCAGCTACCGTGCAACCAGTTCCCCAAGAAGATGTGGACTGGTAGTAGTCTTGTCAAGGTTAAGGGGGATGGCTGTAAGATAGACCAGACCTGTCCAGTAACAGAACAAGTACATGATCTGTGATGGACACATTCTCTACTCTGACACCATCTCTCCATATGGAAACAACCAATCTTCAGTAGCTTCCCTTAGATATAATAACTCTTATTCCATCTATCAATCTACCGACCTGGTGAAGGTTGCGGGGACCTGCAGTTCTGTAGCGTTATTTTTAAAAGCACTTTTAAAGCAGCCCAGCCTGTCACCCGTCAGTTGCAGGAAGCAGGTGTTTCCCTAACATGCCGCTCGTGTGTTTCGTCTCCTCACCTCAGACCAATCGCCAGATCCGACTGAATGAGCTTCTGAAGGAGCACTCGAGCACAGCCAACCTCATTGTCATGTGAGTCATGCCCCGCCTCCTTCCACACTCCACAGCCAATCAGCTCCTGCATTGTCTGCAAGCGAGTATCCAGTGAACTATACTCTTACTGTCAGTTCTTCCCGCCACTGGCCTCCTTGCCCCCCTCTCTGTCCTGACGTAGCTCTACAATCCTAGATGCTCTGTTGAGCTTTGGACTAAAGTGCTTTTTCAGTTTCAGATGATCAGGGTGGCTTTTCAGTGAATCCGTATGAATAAATGCGTATGAAAAGATCATTTCCCTCAAGTGGATTTTGCATTATAGATAAGATCAGTATGTGTAGTTTTGTGGTGCCTACTGACTTTTCTGACATAAAGTGCTTCACAGTTTTGGTAGATAATTTCAATTTTAAAATTGGAAATTCATTTTAAGTGATTTTATATCTATCTGATGGAATTAATGTTAATATCTGTGAACTCAGTCTTAGAATTCCACTGGGAAACCTTGACCCTGTCATATAACTGATTGATTTAAATTTCCTGTCATTCATTCTTTCCTGTCCAATAGGAGCATGCCCCTGGCAAGGAAAGGGGCAGTGTCCAGTGCCCTCTACATGTCCTGGTTGGACACCCTCTCCAAGGACCTGCCCCCCCTTCTCCTGGTCCGTGGCAATCACCAGAGCGTCCTCACCTTCTACTCCTAAAACGCCTCCTGGACCACTGCACTCTCTCTCTCTTGCCAGACTTCAGTTTTTAACGAGGTTAAACAATTAGCAACTGATATTAATACTGATAAAGTGAGTCACAGAGTGAGGGAGCTGCCCACTCGGCGGGTGATGTCTGCACTCCTGAAAAGGCACAAGAGTCCGGCGAGCATTAGGACGCTACGCCACAATTTCCTCCTGGTACAGATTGAAAAAGGAAAAGAGAAACTTTAAATCAACCCCCCCATCCCCCACCCCGCACCAGCGCATGTTGTCGCCCTCATTAGTTTACTGCTGATTTTGCTCGCTAGAGCAGCAGTGATGCTCCGGGTCTTTCCGTGACCCCCGCTGGGAAGACGACGCTGAATGTCCCACTGCACCTTTCACAGCTATATGGATGTGCCTTCCACGCGAATCCACTAAATTTCTGTGCCACTCCACACGGCTGATTATGGAAAGGGGGAGGGTCCCTTTTCTGAGAATTTGAATATTTTGAATGTAAAATTAGTTTTTTTTCTTTTTTTTTTATATTCTGCGAGTGGATTTAAGGCAAACATGGATCATTTTTGCTGCATAAGGTCCTTGTGTTTATTTTTCCAGTCTTCCTTCAAGCTATAACAGCTAATTTTTTTTCCCCTTAACCATGCCCCCCACTTACAGATGTGGTGATAGGCTGAAAGTCAGTTTTATGAAACTATTGTGTGGCCCAGATGTTCTGCTGGTTTTATTTCTGATGGGGAATCTGCTTCTGTCTGGCATTCTCCCCGTCACCCTGTTTAATCCCATGGAAGAACATTAACAGCCAATATCCCTCAGTCCAGGGTAAGAATATCTGCCTCATTCGGGATGTTAATAAGCGAAGGACGAGTTGCTTGAAAGTCTGAACCAAAAAAGTACCGTTATTTTTGAGACTGGTGTAGTATCATCCCAAAATGGAATAGGACTTTGCCTTAATTAGAGTAATTATATTACTATTGTATCGGTCCTTTTAAGCCATAATGGCCAACTGGTAGAAACTTGGGTAAATGAATTTAGACGATTATATGTGTCGGAAGATGTGTAGATAGGTGATATTGTAAAATCTATAGGCAGTATTTATAACTTATGTACTGTACATATACTGTTTTTCCTTTCCCACACCTGCTTCGAGCGGTGACTTCACTGCCCACATTCCGTCACGCAGGACGAGTTACGTTACTGCAGCCTGGATTCGAGCGACGGGCGGGAGCAACTAATGTGAAAAAAGTCCGTACAGGAGATATCTCACTGACGCACATAGCGTAGATCGTCCGCAAAGCTTGCATGGAGTGTTTCCATTTGATCAGACTAACCTCCTCTGGAAGGAGAGGACGATGACCCATCTTTAAGTTTTAAGGACTGTCTGCTGTGCGTGCGTGTTGCTCAGATGACGGTTTGGCCATTCATGAATTTCGGAGGATTAGAAAACCTCCGAACCGCCTGGCCTTTCTGACAGATACCTCTATGCATGTTTGACGAATTTGTACCTGAAGTCCGCTTCTTGCAGAACATTAAATGGTTTCTCTGTGTTCCGAGTAATTGGTCTGACCGCCTTTGAGAATTCCAGATCGATCCCGCCCATCCCTCCGTTGTCATTGACGTAGGATATCCGCCGTTCCAAGCATGAAGGCACACATTCCACATATGATCGTCCACGAGTTACTGAAACGAGTCCCCTGCTCAGGCTGCTCGGCTTGCCGCTGGGGAGGCCGAACTCTTCAGCAAACTGCGCGTAGGTCCCAGCGGCAAACTTCCTGCATTTTTACCGTATGCATTTCTTGGTCCTGACTGAATGTAGCGTTCGACGCAGGGAAATGTGAACTGAATGTACACAACACTAAAGAGTTGCAGCATTTATTTTTCGGATGCCCAAATGAATGATTCATAAGTTTTCAGGGCGGCTGTCTTTCTCAAAGCTTTCAGGACATGGTCGTAGTTCATAATCATCACCCCAGAGACTGAATCCCTTTTTACTATACTGAATACAGCATGTCAGCTTTAAGTTTGAACAAATACCAATATTTATACAAATACCAACTTATATGCCAATGTGTAGAATAGGTTACTTTAAAGGAAGAGTGACGTATACATTTTGAAGGTGGTTTGCTTAAGGTTTCTACTGTATAACTGTACAGCACACAACCCCTAACAATCAATGTCAGATTTTGAAGTAAATACCACCTGCAATTAATAGATTTTATATAATCTATATATAAATATATATATATAGAGAGAGAGAGAATACGGGGTTTATCTTTCGTTACTTGCTATATGGGTATTTATGTAAACCAAACAATGTGTGTTGAGTGTGTTCACTGTACATACATACACAGCCCATGTGGTGTGATAACGGAGTCGTGTTGGTACTGGCATCCTCGTCCAAAGTCTGCAGCTTTGCCACATTATCGTCTTTGTGCTCATTCGCTTATCAAACCTCGCCTCACGCACAAGCGTTTGCCTGATCGTTAGCCAAAGGCTTGGTTTTCGTGACCCATAAATATCAACCGTCATCCTTATAATTACAACTGTTTGACTCTAATTTTTTTTTCTTGCCTGTACATAACCAGACTCTAATGACAAATTAAGGGAGTGGAACCTTAAAGGCAAATCTTAAAATGGAGAAGGAAAAAATATTTATTTTAGTTTAGACTTCTCCTGTAATTTTATTTTGGTTTTAAGTCACATTCCATGTTAATTTCGTTTAGCTCTCCTTAAATTTTGCCTTTATTCCCTTTTTTAGTCTCTGTACATTTCTATCTTTTTATATACCTTTAAAGAGAAGCTTTGACAAGCGGTTTTAAAGCTTTTTTTATTATTATTTTTGTTTGTTTCCTCCAGCGTGGCAGATATAATCTGCCTGCGCGGTTGAAACGGTAATGTTTTGAAATACTGTCCTGTTAACTGTCACAAATGCTTTTTTTTCTAACATTTTAACATTAAAGGTTACCAATACTTTGTACATTTTAATTGCAATAAATAAAAATGACTAAATTATTGCTTTCTTTTCGTTATTGAATTGCTCATGCGGTGAATATTTTGGTGCTCCAGGGGATGAGGAGAGAACCGTTGCAGGACCTGTTTTTGGATGAAACCTACTCTCTTGTCTTTTGGAAAAACAAAGGGCAAATATCTTGTGCAGTCCAATCAATATGACTAATGGCACCCCTTCTGTAAAATCACTCTGCTTTTCGGCAGTGAGCGCCCTCACCGTTAGCTGGTACAGTACCTAGACGTGAAATCGAACCGAAGCCATTTACCTGAGGATGAATCGCTTACATGCCACATCTTTTGCCAGCAGATCCAAACACTGACAGATGCGATCTTGTTTTTGCAGTATGAGTGTCATGACGTGTCTCCCATTTGAACGGAAAGCAGAAGAAAATCGTACACCGCCCCGGTCCCCCACACACATGCACGTTGATGGTTCCGCGCGGGAGCTGTCATACTTCGGCATCCCGATACTATTGCTGGACCAGGGACAACCTGTAGGGTGGTCAGCTCTATTTATGTGTGTTTATGCCTGATCATGTGGATAATGGGTGGCGCACACGTGGCCCTGTATTTGATACCGCAGTACAGATCGTTATGGCAGCTTGCCAACTTACGTCGCGAATCCTCATCGTCGTGAGATCGCGGGGTCTGAGAGACGCAAGAACAACCCGCCTTCTCATCATCAGGCGATTGACGGACGAATTTGTTTTTGTTGCTATATGCTATTTCTATTTCGCTTTCAGATCGGAAAAATAGCCCAGTTTTCGTACATGAATTATATATGCTTATCCAATTTTTGTCAGATTTATTGCCCCTGGGACGACCGCCGCAATGTGTAGATATATGGAAGCTGTTCCTCGCATGAGAATGGATAGCTTTGAATTACATTAATTATATAATGTAAAACGTTCGCCGCGTTTTTTTTTTAGCGCGTTATAAATGTTAAAATGCATGTTTTTTTATTCGCATGTTTATTTGTAAGTGATGTTATTTTATTACTATTGTATGTTTTGATATTTGTATATAAATTTACAGGTTATTTACTCGATAAACAATTCGTCCTCGTGTACGGGGCTAAATGGCACGCAGACGTCTATGAGAAACGTCAAGAATGAAAGATTTAAGTCATTATTAGGTAGATTTTAATTTTTAATAATTTAATTCAGCGTCTCCGTATATGTAGGCCTATTTATTTTGACAACTTTCGTTTTATCAGTAAGATCCCAAAATAAATGCTCTGTTACGTTGGGACGAAAATGTTAATGTAAAATGTATTTTAACTGTATTTACTCCAAGCGCACGCATCGTACATCTGTCATTTTAACCCACGAGTTTCTGCTTAGATCGAAGTCTAATTGTTCTCCTGTTTTTCATGTAGGCTTTAAATAAAAACATTGGGAAAAAATGACAGAAACTGGTATCTCCCAACTTGTTTGAACAGATCTTATTTGTCAGATTTTCATTTCGGCATCCCGATCCTTGTTCATTCGCGTTTATAATGTTTTCCTGAACATCCATGCATGAACCTCCTTGTTCTTATTGTCTGAGCCTTGCGTCCCGAAAATCCCCCACGGGTCTGCTTTGTGTCTCCCGCTCGCCACAGTTTACTCTTTTACAGGCTTTTTTGGTCCTCGTCCGTTTGTATTTTAAACTCCCCCTTCTTGTCTCCCTCATCTGGTTACATGTAAGCAAGCTCAGGCCACTTCCCGCTGCCTGCTGCCCTGCTTTTCATCGCTGTCCAGTCCAGGTACTGCACTAATGGAAGAGTCTGATTTATTTTTAATTAGGGGTCCCTATTGTTTTTCATATATATATTTTTTTGTTTAACGCTGCCGCCTTGTGGTTGGAAACTGTTGCTACTGCGCTATACGGTACTTTTATTTCGCTTTCAGATTGAAAAAATAGCTATCCATATATGCATATCCAATTAACGTAAAATTTATTGCATATACACTCACCTAAAGGATTATTAGGAACACCATACTAATACGGTGTTTGACCCCCTTTCGCCTTCAGAACTGCCTTAATTCTACGTGGCATTGATTCAACAAGGTGCTGAAAGCATTCTTT